TGCAGCCGCAAGTGCTGCTCAAGTGAGGCTGCTTTCTTGAAGACCTTGGAGCAGGTTGTACACTCGTGTGTGCCACCAATGTGGGCCCGCCCATGAGCCTGCAGCCGGTTGGCAGAGCTGAAGCTGCGCTGACACTGGCTGCAGTGGAAGGGGTGGGCTGCCAAGGCTAGGCTGTGAGACCTCCGCCGGTGCTGGCGAGTATCTGCGGAGGGCCGGTGCTGGGGACAGTCCCCACAACCCTGAGCCCAGCCAGCTGTGGACTCGTCACCTCCCACAGCGTCATCACCGACCTCTGCCATGGCCTCCTCATCCTCTATCTCTTCATCATCTTCTTCATCCTCCTCATGATCCTCTTCCTCCTCCAGCCCGTTTCGCTCCTCTTTCTCCAGGGAGTCAAAGTGGGTGCCCTGATGCTCCAAGAACTCCTCAGGGGTGGCACAGAGGGTAGAGCACTCAGGACACTCATAAGGCTCCATCTTGACTTGGGGTGGGGGAGAAGGTGGAGTCAGTGGTGTTGGGGGAGGCAAAGGAGGTGGCACTGGTGGCTCAGCTACCGTGGCAGAAAGGTGCTGGGCCTTTCGATGAGCTACCCACAGCTCGGGCGAGGGGAACAGCTCCTGGCAGTCCCAGCACTGGTATTGGATCTGGTTTGCAGACTCCCGGAGGTGGGCATCCTGGTGGGCCAGAAGCTCACCAGGGGAGAGGATGAGCTGGCTGCATTCACCACACTGGAAGGGTCCCTCAGTGCCTGGCACCAGCTCTGGCTCCAGGCCAGCATTCTGTGTGGTCAGTGCCTCTTCCTCTGAGACAGTAAGCATGTGCTGCTCCTGGTGTGAGAGGACTTCCTCCAGTGTGTTGTAGAGGCTGCCACACTCAGAGCACATGAACTGGTGGTGCTGGAAGAAGAGGGATGAGGCAAGGGCCTCCCCAGGTGTCATCTCAGTCACCTCTGTTGACATCTCCATCATCTCTCCTGACATAGGTGTTGACATCTCCACTGCCCCTGGTGACATCTGTGTTGGCATCTCGGCTACCTCAGCCACCACCTCTGCCATTGTGGGGAAGGCAGTGCCTGGGGAAAGAGGGGCAAGAGCCAGTGAGACAGCAGAAACCTGAGGGGAGGTGGAGTTCTCCTCCCCATTCCACCACTCACCAGCCTCTATCACTCAGGAAGTCTTAATCCAATGTTTCTGCCTCAGTCTTGAGTGATCCCATGTCTCTGAAGCCTACAGAAACCCCACGGCAGCCTGCAGGAAAGAAATAACACTCAGCCCAGTCTCTCTATTTTTTTTCTGAGACAGAGACTCGCTCTGTCACCCAAGCTGGAGTGCAGTGGCACAATCCCACTCCAGGGTTTAAGTGATTCTCATGTCTCAGCTGGGACTACAGGTGTGTGCTACCACACCTGGGTAATTTTTGTGTGTGTTTTTTTTTTTAGTAGAGACGGGATTTCACCATGTTGGCTAGGCTGGTCTTGAACTCAGGTGATCCACCTGCCTTGGATTCCCAAAGGGCTGGGATTATAGGCGTGAGCTACCACCCGGGTCAACAGCCCAGCCTCTTTACTGAGAGGGCCAGGTACACCCTTTCTGAGAACACCACAGCCTTTGCCTGCTGTGCAGTTTCTTCTTTGTGCAACACTTTTCCTCTGCCTCTTACATATACACACACAGATACACCAAAGTGTTTAAAAACACAGGCCCTGGAACCAGAATGCCCTTGGCTTGAATTTGAACTCCACCACTTACTGTCTCTGACATTGTTTTTCTTATCTGTAAAACGGGGCTAAAAGTAGTAGTGACACAAAATCCCTGGTACTGGTAAAGGTCAGCTGTAACCCCGTGTAGTTCTCTAGACAGACTGTTTTTGGACCCTAAATCTGTTATATTGCTGTTCCCTCTGCCAAGAAAGTTATCTCCTCTTCTTGTTTGACAAACTCCTACTCAGCATCTTTTGTGAAGCCTTCTCTGACATCTCTACATCCTCAGGGTTCCTATGCCACCTCTAACATGGCAAATATCATGAGTTTGGGATGGCATCTCACTGTTCCTCATTGGACTGAGAGTTTGTGGGTCTGATTCATTCTGGAGGCTCCAGTCAACAACAAAACCGCGGAACAGGAATTTTTAGCTTTCAAACTTCCCTATATATGCTGGATCTTCCCTTCTACCTATGTGGGCTCAACCCCACCCAGGCCCCTTCACACTACAGGGACTCAGAGTAAACTCAGCAAATGACTACCTCCCTTCCAGGCCTAGCAGCTAATCTTAGGAATTCAAACACACCTTCTTTACCTCTTCTTCATGTCATCTATTAGTGCCACTGGACAGGTGGAGTGTAGCTTACAGCCTTGCATATAGAAGTTGCTCATACTAAGCACCCAGAGGGTAGGAGTTTAGCCTGTATATCACTGAGTTATGTCCAGTGCCAAGAACAATGCCTAGCACACAGTAGATATTAAGTGACTGAGAAATGCTCCCAGGCCAGGCGTGGTGGCTCACGTCTATAATCCTAGTTCTTTGGAGGATGAGGTGGTTGGATCACATGAGCCCAGGAGGTCGAGGCTGCAGTGAGTCACAATCACATCACCACTGCACTCCAGCCAGGGCGACAGAGCAAGACCCTGTCTTTAAAAAAAAAAGGCTCCCTTGGAAAGTGAGACCTTGAGAAGTTTTTATTTTTTGACATGGAGTCTCGCTCTTGTTGCCCAGGCTGGAGTGCAATGGAACAATCTCAGCTCACCACAACCTCTGTGTCCCAGGTTCAAGCGAGTCTCCTGTCTCAGCCTCCCGAGTTAGGATAACAGGCATGAGCCACCTCATCCGGCTAATTTTGTATTTTTAGTACAGACGGGGTTTCTCCATAGTTGGTCAGGCTGGTCTCAAACTCCCGACCTCAGGTGATCTGCCCGCCTCAGCCTCCCAAAGTGCTGGGATTACAGGCGTGAGCTACTGAGCCCAGCCTTTTTTTTCTTTTTGAGACAGGGTCTCACTCTGTTGCCCCGGACTGTAGTGCAATGGTGCAATCCTGGCTTACTGCAGCCGCCACCTTCTGGACTCAGGTGATCCTCCTGCCTTAGCCTCTTGAGTAACTGGGACCAGAGGTATCTGCCACCATGCCTGGCAAAAGTTTATTTTTATTTATTTTATTTTACTTTTTTTGAGATGGAGTCTTACTCTGCTGCCCCAGCTGGAGTTCTGCCTCCTGGATTCAAGCAATTTTCCCACCTCAGTCTCCTGAGTAGCAGAACTAGAGGCATTCACCACCACACCTAGCTAATTTTTATATTTTTAGTAGAGATGCGGTTTCACCATGTTGCCCAGGCTGGCCTTAAACTCCTGACCTCAAAAGATCCACCCGCCGTGGCCTCCCAAAGTGCTGGGATTAAAGGAGTAAGCCACCGCACCCTGTCCTTGGCTAATTTTTTAATTATTTGTAGACAGAAGGTCTCCCTGTGTTGCTCAGACTGGTCTTTTTTTTTTGGTGCGATTTCCCTCACTGCAACCTCCACCTCCCAGGTTCAAGTGACTCTCCTGCCTCAGCCTCCCGAGTAGCTGGGACTACAGGCACGTGCCACCACGCCCAGCTAATTTTTGTATTTTTTCAGTAGAGACGGGGTTTTCACCGTGTTGGCCAGGATGGTCTCGATCTCTTTTTCTTTTTTTTTTCTGCTGTGGTCCAGATAGGTCTCGATCTCTTGACCTCATGATCCGTCCTAAAGTGCTGGGACTACAGGCGTGGGCCCCCACGACCAGCCCCCAGGCTGGTCTTGAACTTCTGGGCTCAAGCAATCCTTCCACTTAGGCCTCCCAAAGCGCTGGAATTACAGGTGTGAGCCACCGTGCCTGGCCGACCCTAAGTTGAACTGTCCCTGTGCACACTCCATTTCTACCATTATACCAGACGAACTCTCCCATTAGACTGTGAATTCCCAAAATACACAGCCCAGTACAGGGCCCTGCTCACAGTTAATGTCCAATGAATACTCCTTGAGTAAATTATTCACTAGAGGACCAGGAGCTAAACTTTCCCTACCTACTATTCCAATCCCCTTCCTAATTTTTCAGTTGCCAGGCCCCTGCACACGACAGCCATTCCATAAAGGATCTTCCTGGAAGCAGGCAAATAGGGGCCCGAGAGTTCCATTTTTCCTTGATTACAGCTCCACTTCCAACAGAAAACTCCGCTAGGGCGAGGCCCAGTGCCTACTGCAAAGCTTGCACAAAGCAGGTACCCAATAAATGTCTACGAAGTGGCCCGGGAGACTTGAAATTTGCCCTTTCCTACGATTCTTTTTCCCACTCTTGAATTGCGAACTACTAGGGGAAGGAATGGGGATTTTTCACACAGTAGCTAACATGAAGTCTTTCCAGGAAGGAACCCAGTAGGGGCCTGGGAATTCAACTTTCCCGCTTCACAACGCTTTTTCTCCTACCAGACTCATCTCCTCGGCAGGGTGAGAGCTCCCAGCAGTGGGTGGTTGGCGAGTTCCAGCGTAGGCTCCCGCACACTAAAGGAACCCCAGGGCACACAGGAAGGAACGGTCTCCTTCCAGCCCGCGCCGCTCCCGCTCTAGCGCAGGCCCCAAGGCTCTTAGACACCCGCAAACCCCTTAGTTTGCCTTCCGCCCTCTCCGTCCGCCCAGCTTTTTCTTCCCCGTCCCGCCCCGCGGCGCCCTCACCCGTTTCTCTTATCTCCTGCAGCCCCTGACGCTCTTGACACAGACCCTCGGCTCCAGGCGAGTGGGACCCCTCACTATCCACACCTCCCATTGGGCGGTGCCCTTATCCTTGGAGACCAATCAGAGCCCGCAGCGTAGGGCACGCGACCTTGCGCCTGCGTATTGCCACTCAGGTGGGGCTCCAGAGTTATCCACGCATACAACTGCGCCCTGTGGGCGGGGCTCAGGGCGCGGAGACGCGCCTGCGCAGTTCCCCGGGTCGCTCCCCGGCTAAGCGTCTGAAAGTTCAATACAGAGACGTGGACAATCTTTGGTGAGCGTTGGGCCCATGAAGTGAACTGGGCGGCGGGAGACCTTGACTGAGGTGTCATTTCAAAGCTGAAAAGACTGAGCATTTCTGAGAATACAGCTTTGGAGCCCGACACACTTGGAAATTCTCCTCTCCGGGCCTCAGTTTTATTGGTGTGAGGTGGGCTTGAGTCACAGGCACTTCAAAGGGGATTGGATGATATCACACATGCACAGCGCTCATACACCGTAGGTGCCCACTACAACTCACCTAGCAAGACAGATTCCTCCACAGTTTGTTAAATTGCTTTCCTATCCTTCCTACTCTTCGTTTAATTTAACGATAGTCACTTGCCGGGTGCCCCTTGTGAGTTTAGCCCAGGACTATGCTTCCGTAGCTTACCATTGCCATCCATTTGTTTCACAAGTAGGAAAACTGAGGCCCAGAGAGGGGAAGGGATTTTTTTGGGGGGTTTGTTTGTTGAGACAGAATCTCGCCCTGTCGCCCAGGCTGGAGTGCAATGGCGCGATCTCTGCTCACTGCAACCTCCACCTCCCCGGTTTAAGCGATTCTTGCCTCCGAAGTAGTTGGGATTACAGGCGCGTGCCACCACGCCCGGCTAAGTAGAGACAGGGTTTCGTCTTGTTGGCCAAGCTGGTCTAGAACTCCTGGCCTCGTGTGATCCGCCCACCCGGTCTCCCAAAGTGCTGAGATTACAGACGTGAGCCTTCCAAGTCTTTTGAATTCACTGCTGCAGCTCAAGCAGAGTCAGTACTGGGCCAGTGCTAGGCAGGACCCAGGTCTCCAGACTCCCAAGAGGAGTTAATTCTGGGCGTGGGAACCGGTCCAGGGAGGGTACTGGTCTCAGGCAAGTGCAGGCCCTGACCTTGAAACACCTAAGTGGAGAGCGGGGCGGCCATCACACCCAAGACCCCACAGTGAGGGGACGCAGATACACCACAGCCTAGACGCTGATTCCTCGGAAGACCCTCTGCAGTTGTTGCAAGTTAGGGAACGGATATCTTGGCTACCCCGTTAGACAGAGATTGGAAGGGGTTAGTTACAGAGGGGCCGTTTTTGGCTCTGGGTGGAGACGTCTGACTGTGATGGGGATCGTGACGGACGGCATCGAGATGCCCACAGTCGGAAAGGAAGGTTCTGTTGCGGCTTGGAAGGAGGTATCCGTCCTGGAGGTAAGATAAGGGAGTTCTGGTCTCTATCAGGGGAAGGGACTTACAGATTGGGATGGGGAGGGGATTTCCAGTTGGGATCATGAGACAGCATAGTTGAGATGTAGATTCCTTCTTGTCACCAGAAGTGAGGGACAATCTAATGGAGGGGTGCCCAGGACCAGATCATATAAGGCCTGGGAGTTACTGGGTGCCGAGAATGTAGTGCTTGTGTTCGTCTGCCACGGGCAACTAGGGGCATTGGTGATGTGGCCGTCTAGGTTGTGATCAGAAGGGGGCTGTAGTTCATGAGATGAATAGTTCCAACTACTCGTGACGTGGTGCTACAGGGTCCCGGTAGCTTGAGTCACGTGCAGTAGGTACGTACTTGGAATCGGGTATCAGATACAACGCTCGAAGCTACGCGCTCTCGCTCTGCGCAAGCGCAGCACCCGTGAGCCAAGACGCCTCGATTGGGGGCGGGGCTTGGAGGCCCTGTTCTGCGCATGCACTTAAGGGGCGTGGCGGTCGCACCTGCGCGAGTTGGGGGAAGGAGGAGGGGCGAGGTGACGCAGGCGTAATAATAGAGAAGGTGCCAGAAAGATCCAAAACAAGTGGCTGCGGCCGTCGCCCAGGAGTCAGCGGACGCCAGAATCTGGTGAGGATCCAGAGAGGCCTAATGGTGACTGGTGGCGGGTAAATAGAACCACCTGGGCGCTGGGGAGCCAGCGGGACCGCCCTTGCAGGGCGAGGGTGTCGGGTTCGGACGGTACCACCTGTGTGGAGCAAAGGGGCTTCCTGGGTCGCTCCTCCGTGTAGGGGTAGAGGGTCACTTTCGGGCGGTACCACTTGCGTAAAGCCTGGGGGACTCATCGGACGGTACCACTGGACGAAGCCAAGCGGCTCGTCTGGGCAGTCCTATCCAGAGTCAGGGGCAGTCGTCAGGGAGCCCCAGGGTGGGCCCCGAGGCTTGCTTGTTTGGGCCGCACCGTTTGGTCCGGGCCGGAGGAGAGCTTGGAACGTACCAGGGTGAGGGGGCAGAAGCCGAGCGGGCTCTGGTGTCCCGACCTGTTCCTAGGGGATCTCTGGCGGGACCATTCCCTCCCGGGAAGGGGGAGGCCGAGGCGGTTGGGGGTGCGGGAGCGGCCCTGCCTGGCGCGACGGGGCGGGGGAGACGCGCTGGCGGTGTGGGATTCGGGCTTCCGCGTCGCTGACCACTGCCCCCTCCTCGCTGTGTGGGTTCTAGGCCGGGTTCTGAGCTTGTTCCGCCTCCCTCTCCCGGGAATGGCGCTATCCGGGTCGACCCCGTCCCCGTGCTGGGAGGAGGATGAGTGCCTGGACTACTACGGGATGCTGTCGCTTCACCGTATGTTCGAGGTGGTGGGCGGGCAACTGACCGAGTGCGAGCTGGAGCTCCTGGCTTTTCTGCTGGACGAGGTCCCTGGCGCCGCCGGCGGGTTAGCCCGGGCCCGCAGCGGCCTAGAGCTCCTGCTGGAGCTGGAGCGTCGCGGGCAGTGCGACGAGAGCAACCTGCGGCTGCTGGGGCAACTCCTGCGCGTGCTGGCCCGCCACGACCTGCTGCCGCACCTGGCGCGCAAGCGGCGCCGGCCAGGTACGGTTGAATGGGAGGGTTTCACACTTCCTGGGAGGAGAGGGCCTGGCTCCCGCTGGGTCTCCCTGGTGCTCTGATACGGACAGTGCCATATCAGGCAGCTTATGTCCCATTCCACTCCTCCCTCTTCCCACAGTATCAGTGAGAAACACAAGAGAGAGGAAGCCTGGCTTTGGGAGGGGTGAGCTAGTGGAATTTGGCCACATCAGTGATGATGATTATGGCTCCTGTTTACGGAGGGCTTGTTTCTTGCCAGGCACAGCTGTAAGCCCTTCATGTAAACTAGTACCGTATAGCCTCCCAGTAATCCCACAAGGAAGTCTTGTTACTGTCTTCACCGTAACTGGGAAAATACCAAATTCAGAGAAGTTAAGAAGTTTGCATATATAATAATAATCCTGTTTGCTGGGCCTAGGGAATACAGGATGATGGGGCTGACAAGGTGTTTGTTCCATGAAGTTTAAGTTTAGTGGGGCAATCAGACAATAAGGCAGAGAACTTACTTTTAGATGCTGTTTTAGGAAGACCAGAAGTAATGGAATAGAGAGAGTCGGGAGGGCAGCAAGGTGAAGGGAGGCTTTGCCCTGAGGTTGCCCTGCCAGCCATGCATAGGCCCTAGGGGAGAAAATCCCAGGGAGCGTCTAAGGCCTGAGGTGGGAATGAGTTTCATCACCAGAGGCCAGTGTGGCAGGAGCAGAGGGGACCTAAGCTAGCCGATAGAGGCAGGTGAGAAGTTATGTCATGAAGGGGCTTACAGAGAACATAGCTAGGAGCCAGGATTCAAACCCAGCCAGCTTGTTCGCAGAGTTGATGTCCTTAATCCTTGTGAAGGAAGTGCCCCTGAAGGATAGCAGTCTTGAGAAGCTGGGAGGGGTTCAGGCTGCCATTTGCCCTGTGCATGCATAGACTGTCAAGCCCTTGGCTGGGTTACTAAAGGTGCAGTGGCTAGTTTGGGTAGGGGAGATTATGGCCTTCCCTGGCCTAGAGTAAGCCCACAGGATTTAGGTAAGCAGAAGAAAGACAGCTGTAGGGAATAGCTGGCAGTGTTTTTGGATATGTATGTTTCAAGATCAGGCTCTAGAAGAATGGATTTGGGAACCTGCACAGAGGCTGCTTACTTCTTGGGGAGAGCTGGGGGCAGTTGATTCAAAGGCCAAGGGCCATTGCAGGGATCCTGTCCATGACAGAATAATGTTGACAGTGTGAGCTGCTGTAGACATGGGTTAGATTGCTGCAAGTGGTGATGAGTTCTCTGTTTCAGGAAACAACCTCTGCTGGAGGTGTTTGAGAGTGAGAGGGGATATTGGGCTTTGACCTCTGGGGAACTTAGGCACCCTGTGGTGCAGGCATTCTTCCAGGGGTGGGAATTAGGGCTAGGAGGCTGACTGCTTCTTCCCATTCTTCTTTTCCTCCAGTGTCTCCAGAACGCTATAGCTATGGCACCTCCAGCTCTTCAAAGAGGACAGAGGGTAGCTGCCGTCGCCGTCGACAGTCAAGCAGTTCTGCAAATTCTCAGCAGGGTCAATGGGAGACAGGTAAGCCCAGCTGGGTAGGTGTGATGGCAGCACTCCTCTTTTCCTTACGAACTGTGCCCATCAAGGAAGGGGCCTGAGGGGGTTATTCTGTCTTATTTTCACTGTCTGTGTGTGTATGTGTTTTCATTGCTACAGAAACTCTGTTCTGAAGCAACATAAAGAATTTGTTGCACATGGTTTCATATTCCATTTAAACGGTATCACATTGTGGGTATTACTCTGTACTTGGCTGTCTTTGCCAGACATGTTTCTGAGATTTATTCATGCTGAGTATCTCTAATTGGTTTCTTTTAATTGCCATGCCCCAATTAACTTATTCTCCTCACTGCCTCAGTTTTTTTTTTTTTCTTGGTCTGGTTTTTCCAAGATAGGAGCTTGGTCTGATAGTGAAGAAATCGTAGCTCTCTGCAGTTTTGGACTCCTGGGCTAAAGCTATCCTCCCACCTCTGCCTCTCAAGTAGCTGGAACTACAGGTGCATGTCACCATGCCTGGCTAAGTTTTTCATCCTTCATAGAGTTAGGGTCTTCCTGTTATTGACCAGGTTGGTCTTAAACTCCTGGCCTCAGTCGATCCTCCCATCTCAGCTTCCCAAAGTGCTGGATTACAGACATAAGTCATCATGCCTAGCCACGCTTTGTTTGTTTTGAGGCAGAGTCTTACTCTGTCACCCAGGCTGTGGTGTGGTGGTGTGATCTCGGCTGTATGCAACCTCCACCTCCCTGGTTCAAGCAATTCTCCTGCCTCAGCCTCCCAAGTAGCTAGAACTACAGGTGCATGCCACCATGCCCAGTTAATTTTTTTGTATTTTTAGTGAAGACGGGGTTTCACCATGTTGACCAGGCTGGTCTCAAACTCCTGGCCTCAAGAGACCCACCTACCTCGGCCTCCCAAAGCACTGGGATTACAGGCATGAGCCACTGTGCCCTGCCCACCTCTCGTTTTTTTATTATGTGAAATTTCAAACATAGAAGTTGAAAGATTAGTACAGTAAACATCCACCTAGTTTCAGTAATTGTTAAAATTTTGCCACTTTTGCTTTATGTGTATATGTAATTCTGGTTTTTTGCTTGAACCCTTTGCAAGTAAATTACAGACATCAGGATGCTTTACCCCTAAATTAGGCATCCATGGAGAATAGGGATATTCTCCTATACCATTTTAAGACCATTATCATACCTAAGAAAATAAACATGAATTCTCTGATATTCTAATGGTTTATTTTAAAATATCCCCAGATTGTGGGACCATTCAGAATCTGTTCATAGTTGAGTTGGTATGTATTTAGTTGTTATGTCTCCTTAGTCTCCTGCCATAGCACAGAAACTCCCTCTATATCCTATACCTTTTTTTTTTTTTCCTGTAACATTGGTTTATTAACCCTAGCAGGCTGGTTGTTTTGTAGAATGTCCTGATTGTTTCTCTGTCTATTTCCTGATGGAGTCATTTAACTTGTCTCTCTTTCCTTTACGTTTCTTGTTAAATGGGAATTGTGTCTGAGACTTGGTTAGATTCAGTTTATACGTTTTTGACAGGAATACTCTTTGGTTGCTGCCATCTAGTTCATATCAGAGTATATTCCAGGCATGTAAGGCTTGGCTTTTCCTGTGTGGGAAAGTTTGATCACTTGGTTAAGGGGATAGCTGCCCTGTTTGTCCAATGTGAAGGGACATTTAGTTCTTATGGCTAGTAAACAGTCTATGGAGTGGTACTTTGGCACGTCCTGTTTCCTAATAGCCTTTTACTCAGTGAATTTTACATCTGTGAGCTCTGCCTGAACCAGTTATCATATTGGTATTTGCAAAATAGTGATTTTTCTAATTTTTTTTCCTTCTCTGTTAGCTGCAAGTCTTTTCAAGAGATACTCCCCTAGTGCCCCTTTGAGTTTGAGTATCACTACAGACTCACACTATTTATTGACTTGTTACAGTCATTCATTCTTCCTAAGTTCCAGTTGACTAGCCTCTTGTGTCTTCTTCATGTGTTTGTATCATTCTTTGGGTGCTTCCTGCTTTGTGGGACTGCAAGATGTCCTGGGCTCGTTTTGAACTTTCCCTTCCCCACCTTACAATCAGCTGTTTTTCAAGGTAGCTGTGGTATTTAGAGACCAAAACCTGGGTGCTGAGTGTGTATAATGTTTCTAGATTATTTCAGTGAATGATGTTAGAGACTTTACTTTTCAAAAAGTTTCTTTTAGTATTTTAAATTTAAAATTAACATTATAGCCATGTGTGGTGGCTCATGCCTGTAATCCTAGTGCTTTGGGAGGCTGAGGCAGGAGGATTGCCCGAGGCCAGGGGTTTGAGATCAGCCTGGGCAATATAGTGAGACCCTGCCTCTAAAAAAGATAAAAAAAAAACCTGGCCGACTGTAGTGGCTCCCACCTGTAGTCCCAGCACTTTGAGAGGCTGAGTGGACTGGGGCAGGTGGACTGCTTCAGCCCAGGAATTTGAGACCAGCATGGCAAAACCCTGTGTCTATAAAAAATACAAAAAAATTAGCCTGGCAGGGTGATGTGTGTGTGTTGTCCCAGCTACTCAGGAGGCTGAGGTAGGAGGATTGTTTGAGTCGAGGAGGTGGAGGTTGCAGTGAGTTGAGATCATGTCATTGTCCTCCAGTCTGAGTGACAGAGCAAGAACCTGTCTCAGAAAAAATAAAAAAGCCAGGTGTAGTGGCATGCCACTGGACTTCAGCTTGGGCAACAGAACAAGACCCCAACTCTAAACAAACAAACAAAAACATTACACTTTTTTTTTGAGACGGAGTCTCGCTCTGTCGCCCAGGCTGGAGTGCAATGGCGTGATCTTGGCTCACTTCATCCTCTGCCTTGTGGGTTCAAGCAATTCTCCTGCCTCAGCCTCCTGAGGAGCTGGTATCTGGGATTACAGGCGCCTGCCACCATGCCTGACTGATTTTTGTACTTTGAGTAGAGATGGGATTTCACCATGTGGGCCAGGCTGGTCTGGAACTTCTGACTTCAGGTGATCCACCCGTCTTGGCCTCCCAAAGTGCTGGGCATGAGCCACCGTGTCTTGCCAGACTTTTTTTTTTTTTGAGTGCGTTAGCGCCATCTCGGCTCACTACAACCTCCGTCTCCCAGGTTCATGCGATCCTCCTGCCTCAGTCTCCCGAGTAGCTGGGACTACAGGTATATACCACCACTCCTGGCTAACTTTGTATTTTTAGTAGGGATGGGGTTTCACCTTATTGGCCAGGTTGGTCTTGAACTCGTGACCTCAGGTAACCTGCATGCCTTGGCCTCGCAAAGTACTAGGATTATAGGCGTGAGCCACCACTCCCAGCCAGATTTTTTTATTTTTATTTATTTTTGAGACTGTTTCGCTCTTGTTGCCTAGGCTGGAGTGTAGTGGCACAGTCTTGGCTCACTGCAACCTCAATGATTCTTCTGCCTCAGCCTCTTGAGTAGCTGGGATTACTACTCAGGAGGCTGTAATTAATAGTGCCACCATGCCCAACTAATTGTGTATTTTTAGTAGAGGCAGGGTTTCTCCATGTTGGACAGGTTGGTCTTGAACTCCCAACCTCAGGTGGTCAGCCCACCATGGCCTCCCAAAGTGCTGGGATGGATTACAGGCATTAGTCACTGTGCCAGACCCCAACCAGACTTTTTTATACTTGAAAGTTTATGCTCTTAATAACATTGAGATGTGTGGATTTGCTTAATCTATTTTACAACAGTAATGAAATAGCATCAAAATAACAAAGTCAGTACAACTACTTACTGTATCTAGTAATTGAAACATAGATTTTATTTGTGGTTCTTGTTCTCTGAGCATATCCCATTGAGGTTTTAGAGTCAGAATTTTCTTCAAGTTACTTGAAATAATTCTTTTATCTGAGTATTCATATTACCAATTATGTATACAGTCAGGCTCATTTGTTTCTTTTCTCTGAGGGTTTTTTTTTGTTTCCCAGGCTGGAGTCCAGTGGTGCAATCTCTGCTTACTGCAGCCTAGACCTCCTGGGCTGCTCAAGTAGTCATCCCACCTCAGCCTCCTGAGTAACTGGGACTACAGACACGTGCCACCACAGCTGGCTGATTTTTTTTTTCTTTCTAATTTTAAATTTGTCTTTTTTTTTTTAAAGAGTTTCACCATGTTGGTCAGGCTGGTCTTGAACTCCTGACCTCAAGTGATCCGTCCGCCTTGTCCTCCAGAGTGCTTGGATTACAGGCGTGAACCACCACGCCCGGCCTAAATTTTTCTTTTTTTGAAAGGCTGTCTTGCTGTGTCACCAGACTGGAGTGCAGTGGTGCAATCTCAGCTCACTGCAACCTCTGCCTCCTGGGTTCAAGCAATTCTTCTGCCTCAGTCTTCTAAAATAGCTGGGACTGCAGGCACCCGCCACCACGCCCAGCTAATTTTTGTATTTTTAGTAGAGACGGGGTTTCATCATGTTGGCCAAGGTGGTCTCAATCTTTTGACCTCATGATTTGCCTGCCTCGGCCTCCTAACATGCTCAGATTACAGGCGTGAGCCACTGCGCCTGGCCTTTTTTTTGGGGAAAAAAAAAAAAAAATAGGGTTTTTCCATGTTGCCCAGTTTCCAGCTTGGTCTTGAACTCCTGGGCTGCAGGCTGGGATTACAAACATGAGCCGTAGCATCTGGCCAGGCTCATTTTCTTTTTTGTGTTTTTTATTTTTATTTTATTTTTTTGAGGCGGTCTCATGCTGTTGCTCAGGCTGGAGTGCAGTGACACAATCTCGGCTCACTGCAGCCTCTGCCTCCTGGGTTCAAGTGATTTTCCTGCCTGAGCTTCCCGAGTAGCTGGGATTATAGGCAGGTGCCACCACGCCTAGCTGATTTTTGTATTTTTAGCAGAGACGAGGTTTCACCATGTTGGCCAGGCTGGTCTTGAACTCCTGATCTCAAGTGATCCAGCTGCCTCCAAAGTGCTAGAATTATAGGCAGAAACCACTGTGTGCCCAGCCTCTTTGTGTTAATTTCATGGTGTATTTCCTTATAACTTTTTAAATGTGTAAATCAGTTACATGAGTCAAAAGACAAAACTGAAGTGTGGGTCCAGGCTAGGTGCCTCACATCTGTAATCCCAGAACTTTGGGAGGCCAAGGGCTCGGGGGGGTGGATCACCTGAGGTCAGGAGTTCAAGACCAGCCTGGCCAAAATGGTGAACCCCTTCTCTACTAAAAATACAAAAAATTAGCTGGGTGTTGTGGTGGTAATCCTAGCTACTCAGGAGCCTGAGGCAGGAGAATTGCTTGAACCTGGGAGGCGGGAGTTGCAGTGAGCTGAGATCACGCCATTGTACTCCAGCCTGGGCAAAGAGCAAAACTCCATCCGTCTCAAAAAAAAAAAAAAAAAAAACCAAGTATGAAAATATGGTGTTTTTAGACATGTCATTTCTACTGTTGGGCTCCCCCCATCCCGAATTCATTCATTTCTAGTCTATTCTTCCAGTATTTCATTTTGCACATATATATTATCTTACTTTACCTCCTTTTTTGTTCAAAGTATAGCACACTGTAGACACTTATTTTATATCTTGCTTTATTTTGCTAAACAGTCTATCCTGGAGATCACCCTATATTCCTGTTTCTTCTTGCCCTATGTGTTGTTCTCTGATTTTCATAACGATTAACAGTACCCCGGTGGGGGTTGTTATATTTGTCTCCTGGTGTAAGTGTACCAGGATTTCTCTAGAGTTACACCTGGAGTGGGCCTGCTGTAGCAGGTGGGGTGTCCTCATCTGCCCTTCTAGATGGTGCTAGGTATGGTACTCTTCATCTTTCAGACAGGGCCACTGAGGAAGGGAGGCAGTGGGGCTCACTCAGGGGCTTAGTACTGAGACCATCTTGAGTTCTTTTCCAGGCATATATATGGGCACTCTAGCTGTCATCTTGGTCCTCAGCTTGCCCCATTTTTTTCTCCTCAGGCTCCCCCCCAACCAAGCGGCAGCGGCGGAGTCGGGGTCGGCCTAGTGGTGGTGCCAGACGGCGGCGGAGAGGGGCCCCAGCAGCACCCCAGCAGCAGCCAGAGCCTGCCAGACCTTCCTCCGAAGGCAAAGTGACCTGTGGTAGGTGCCTGGGGGCCTTGGCAATACATGTAGAATGCCCAGGGCAGGCAATAGAGGCAGAGGGTGGGAGAAATGAGCATTTGTCTGGGGCATATGACACACCCAGCAGATGGATGGCAGCTCTTGTTCACCACAGTGGAATTCTTGTTCTTTCTCTTGCCATCTTGTCTATATCCTGCCCATTGTTGTAGTGTCAAATCTTGTGCCACCTCCTTCAAGAAGCCTTTCCTGACAACCCCCTGCCCTAGTTTCATTTGTGTGTTCAGTAAACATCTGCAGGGGTTTCCTTATTTAGACATTTCTTGTGTAGTGGCAGTGTATCAAGTGGGGAAAAACAATGATCCTGGGTCAGCCTGCCTGATTTACATCCTGGTCTTGGCCCTTAAATAAATTGTCTGATTTCGGGCTAGTAATTGAACCTCTCCACCTGCTTGCTTCCTTTCCTTCCTTTCCTTCCTTTCCTTCCTTCCCTTCCTTCCCTTCCTTCCCTTCCTTCCCTTCCTTCCCTTCCTTCCCTTCCTTCCTTCCTTCCTTCCTTCCTTCCTTCCTTCCTTCCTCTCCTCCCCCCCCCCCCCTTTTTTTGTGACACCGTCTCCTTCTGTTGCTCAGGCTGGAGTGCAGTGGGACAATCTTGGCTCACTGAAACCTCCGCCTCCCGGGTTTTACCCATTCTCCTACCTCAGCCTCCCAAGTAGCTGAGATTACTGGGGCCCATCACCATGCCAGGCTAATTTTTGTGTATTCTATTTTTTTTTTTTTTGAGACGGAGTCTTGCTCTGTCACCCAGACTGGAGTGCAATGGCACGATCTTGGCTCACTGTCACCTTCATCTCCTGGGTTCAAGCGATTTTTCTGCCTCAGCCTCCTGAGTAGCTGGGATTACAGGTGTTACAGGGATTGCACACCTGGCTAATTTTTGTATTTTTAGAAGAGATGGGGTTTCACCATGTTGGCCAGGCTGGTTTCGAAGTCCTGACTTCAGGTGATCCACCTACCTTGGCCTTCCAAAGTTCTGGGATTATAGGCATGAGCCACTGCGCCTAGCCATCCACCTCAGTTTCCACATCTGTAAAATGAGGCTGATAATCGTGCCTCCCTGCTTGGATTGTTGTGGGAAAACAAATTCAGCCATGGTATGCCTGGAGCAGCACCCAGCCCAGGCACTTGCTATGCAGTGGTTAGTTGTTCTCACAGTGTGCCTGCGGCAGGAGTGCTGCAGCGAGGTTCCCTGCTCTTGTGAAGCTGACCTGTTAGGTCACCAGTGAAACTGAAGATCAGTTTAGACAGTGATAAGGGCCATGAAGAGAGGGTGGGAGCAGGTGAAGGAGCCATTGATGGTGCCTGATGCATAAAACGTGGGCCTGGCGGGCCACGACAGGGGTGAGAGTTTGGATTTTATTCCATACATCAGGCACTGTCAATGGGTTTTAAGCAGGAGGGTGGTATGATGTGATACCTCTTCAAGGAACTCTAACTCCATCTGGAAAATGAGTTAATAAGGGAGTTAGGGTTTGCAAAGTGTTTAGGAGGCACTGGGCATCTAGTAGGTGCTCTGCTAGGCATGTGTTAAGTAGATTAAATTATGTGGAAGCAGAGAAATCGCATGAAGAGGCTGTGAGGTCCGTGGAGAAGTACTGGGCAGAGGTCTGGCCTCCGGGTCGTGTTGAAGAGGATGAGAAGTGACCTAGGAAATAAGAGCACTGGCCATAGGGCTGACTGTAGACACTGTGCATTGGGTGGGTTGGGGGCTCTGCTGTGGAGACTGCTTAGACTTTTCCCTAGAGAAATTCCATTTGGTCCTGTGGGGAGGACACAGTCTCATCTATAGTACTCCTTTCTCTAGTTGGCAAGCTTTGGAACACAGAAGGGATCAGATATGGTCTTTAAGCTCTCAGACTGCAGGGAAGACAGACGAGGGAAGTGGCAGCCAGGCTGTGTGAGAGGTGCCACAGGTATTGTGAGTGCAGGGGTTCTGGGGTGTGCAGGGAGTCTCCTGGCCAGCCCCAGTTTCCTTGTGAAGGTGCCATGTTCAGAGCAAACTCAAGGAAGCTGGAAGAGGAGCTGGGAAGAGTGATCCTGGCAGAGTGAACCATGTGTGCAGTGTCCTCAGCTGGATGTGGTCAGGGCTGAGTCTGACGCAGAGGCTTTGTGGGTGGGAGCAGGGGGAGATGAGGCAAGGGGCAGGTCTTGAAGGTTTGGATTTTATTCCAGGGGACAGCGAAGCAGGGGATCCAAGGAAGGGTTTATTTGTTAATTGCTTCATCATATTTTTATTAGCATCATCTCTATGCCAGGCACTATTCTAGGCATGAAGGGCACAGAATTGGACCAGGTGAAGAAAGTCCTCAGCCTCTAGGAGTTTACGTAGTAGTGGGTGAGACCGGTAACTTGAAAGTAGGCCATTGTAGCAGATGGCGTCAGCTAGTGACAAGTGCTCTAATGAAACATGAGGCCAGGGGTGGTGCCGAGCACCTCTGCTCAATTAGGGCTGAGGCTGCTTCGGGGGAGAGGAGGCACGAGGGGAGTGGCAGGTGCTTATGGTGAAAGGGTTCAGTGGAGGAGGCCAGTGTGGAAGCTGGAGGTCAGGAGTCCCAGGTTGGAGCTGGTGTGTCCCGTCTGCCAGGAGACCTTGGCCTAGGGGTGCTTTCTGCTAACCTCTGCAGAGCTTTCTCCAGCCTACAAAGCATGTACACCTGCCCCCTCCTAGTGCACATCATGACCCTTCAGGGAGTGGGCATTATGCCTACTTCATAAATGAGGCAGCAGATACCTGTGCTGGGTGCTGTTAGAATGAACCAACCTAGAGAGCCAGCCCTGAGTCCTCAGGCAGCTACGTGGGCTTGCAGAGCAGGGTTTGAGGGGATAGCTGCCTGGTGGTGACTCTCCCCCGAATCAGCCAGTAATTTCCAGAGCTACCAGGCTGGCTGGGCAGGTGAGAGAGTCATTGCCTCAAGGAAGACAGGAACAGGCCAAGGGAGGCTTTGGGTCTCTTTCTGGAGGCGAGGAGGTTATTAACCAGGGTGTGGCTGGGTCTTGATGGAAGATGGGTGATCAGTTCTGACTGCTGACTCACCAGGCTGGGTGGGGCTGTAGTGAGGCTCTCCCCATCTGGGCCCCTGTTTTTCCCTCTGAAAAATGGGATGGCTTCCTTTAAGAGAGGCCGAATGCCAGCGGTGGAAGGAGGACTGATTGAAGAAGAGGCCTGCCATTCTTGCCCCCTCCTCACTTGTGATATCTATGACCCTCATCCAGCTGCCTTCCAGAGGGATAAAACTAGACAAACTCCCGAGTGCCTGAGACAGTGAGGAAGGGCACCTTGGGGGTCCTGGGCTTAGATCCAGGACATCTGAAGGACCATGATCCTCTCAGGGTCTGTGATGGGCATTATTCACCTGGCCCTGAATTCTCAAGACAGCCATTGAGGTGGGGTGACACCTTGCAAAGGAAGAGGCATGCTCAGGGAAAGGCAGTCACAGTCTGAGTGGCAGGTGGCAGAGCTCGGCTGAAACTTGGATTTCCATATGGATTTATAGAGTACTTATTTTATATTAGGTCAGCAGGATGGGAAGCCCTGCCCTCATTGAGCTTGTGTTCTGGTGGGAGAAAGCCGAGAGAGAGATTTCAGATGTCAGGGGAATGGTGTTCCTGATGGAAAGGACAGCAGGAGCACAGGCCCAAGTGGGATGTGCCAGTGCTCAAGAGCAGCGTGGAGGAGGGCAAGGAAACTGGCAGGAATGGAGGAGTAGGGTGGAGACCCCTAGGAGGTGAGGGCAGGAGAGGGAACCAGGGCAGATCTTGCAGGGCGTGGGCTTTGCATTTTTTTAGATTATGGAAAGCAGTTGGAGGATTCGAATGACAGGATCAGCTTTGGTTCTCCCCTGTCATTTTTTTTTTTTTAATTGTGAGACAGGATCTCACTCTGTTGCCCAGGCTGGAGCACAGTGGCGTGATCTTGATTCACTGCAACCTCCGCTTCCCAGGTCGAGTGATTCTCCAGCCTCAGCCTCCTGAGTAGCTGAGACTACAAGCATGACCCACCACCACGCCTGGCTAATTTCTGTTTTTTTGTAGAGACAGGGTCTCACCATGTGGCCATGTTGTCCAGGCTGGTCTCAAACTCCTGAGCTCAAAGAGAATCCACCTGCCTCGGCCTCCCAGAGTGCTGGGATTACAGGCATGAGCTGCTGACTGGCCCCTGGAATTTTTTCTGTGGAAAACATATCAAAGTGAATAGACTAGCTTCAGCCATTGTCAACTCATGGCTAATCTCATATGAGGATCATTAGGAATTTTGGAGTCAATTCTGGTTGCCCTATAATCTCATCTGTAGATGCTTGAAAAGAGTTGTTTGTTTGTTTTTTTGTTTTTAAAGAGTTGGAGTTTTGCTCTTGTTGCCCAGGCTGGAGTGCAGTGGTGTGATCTTGGCTCACTGCAGCCTCCACTTGCTGGGTTCAAGTGATTCTCCAGCCTCAGCCTCCTGAGTAGCTGAAAGTACAAACATGTGTCACCATGCCTGGCTAATTTTGTATTTTTAGTAGAGATGGGGTTTCTCCATGTTGGTCAGGCTGGTCTCTAATTCCTGACCTCAAGTGATCCTTCTGCCTCAGCTTTTCGAAGTTCTGGGATTACAGGCGTGAGCCGCTGTGCCTGGCTTTTTTGTTTTTTTTGAGATAGAGTCTCTCTGTGTCACCCAGGCTGGAGTGTAGTAGAGAGATCTTGGTTCACTACAACCTCCACCTCGCAGGTTCAAGCGATTCTCATGCCTCAGCCTCCTGAGTGGTTGGGATTACAGCCACCATACTTGGCTAATTTTTTTTTTTTTTTTTTTTTTGAGATGGAATTTTGCTCTTCTTGCCCAGGCTGGAGTGCAATGGTGTGATCTTGGCTCACTGCAACCTCCACCTCTCAGATTCAAGTGATACTCCTGCCTCAGCCTCCTGAGTAGCTGGGATTACAGGCGCATGCCACCACGCCCAGCTAATTTTTTGTATTTTTAATAGAGATGGGGTTTCACTGTGTTAGCTAGGGTGGTTTCAAACTCCTGACCTCAGGCAATCCATCTGCTTTGGCCTCCCAAAGTGTTGGGATTACAGGCATGAGCCATTGCACCTGACCACTTGGCTAATTTTATAGTAGAGAAAGGATTTCACCATGTTGCCCAGGCTGGTCTTGAACTCCTGGCCTCAAGTGATCCTCTGCCTTGAGCTCCCAAAGTGCTGGGATTACAGGTGTGAGCCACTGTGCCTGGCCAAAAATAAAAATAGGGCGTAACACCAAAAAAGATTCATAACTCCCTACTGTCAAACACCTGATCAGTGCTCAGATTTTCCATTGTTTCATTAACGTAGGTTCTCTGAAGTCTCTCCTTTCCCCTGCCATCTCTGTTTCTCTGCTTTGCGTTGTATTTTTTGAAAGTAGTTGTCCTGTAGCATTTCCTGAACACTGGGTTTTGCTGATTGTATCCTGCAGTAGGTTTGATTCAGTGTATTCTGCCCTGTCTTTTGTATTTCCTGAAGATTGGTAATGGGATCTGGAGAGACTTGATCAGATTGTGGTTTGATGTTTTCTTTTCCTCAAGCTCACTTCTGAGGGCGTGTTATGCCCCTCTATCAGGAAGCAGGCGATGGCTGCATATCCTTCTCTGGAGTTGGAGGCAGCTTCTCATCATTGCCTCAATTCAGTAGTTCAGTAGGAGTTGAAGACCTTTCCATTTGACATGACGATGCTGGCTGTGTTGTGGAGAGGAGACAAGTGAGGCAAGCATGGAGGCAAGATGTTGGGAGGGGTCCCACCATTGTCCAGAGAGGGCTGGTGCTGGTCCCGGTGTGGTGGCAGGAGTGCGGGTGGGGTCTCTCCACTGCAGCACACTGGCTGCCTCTTTCCAGCAAGGCTGGAAGCATCCCCCAGTGCTGTGGGAGCTCAGGTCCTCATTTTCCCCAGCCCTTCTATGTTGGTTCATTTTTGTGTTGCTATAAAGAAATACCTGAGACTGCATAATTTGTAAAGAAAAGAGGTTTACTTGGTTCACGGTTCTGCAGGCTGTATAAGAAGCATGGCGCCAGCATCTGCTTCTGTTGAAGACCTCAGAGAACTTCCACTCATAGTGGAAGGCCAAGGGGAGCAGTCATGGTGAGAGGTGGAGGCAGGGGAGCTACCACACTCTTAACAACCAGCTCTCATGGGAAATACCAGAGCAAGAACTCACTCATCACCAAGGGATTCATGAGGGACCCAGTCCCGTGATCCAACACCTCCCACCGGGTCCCACCTGCAATATTGGAGGTCACATTTCATTTTTTTTTTTTCATTTTTTAAAATATTTTTGAAAAATTTTTTAACACTTCATGAATATGCATGTCATCCTTGCACAGGGGCCATGCTGATCTTCTCTGTATTGTTCCAATTTTAGTATATATGCTGCCAAAGCAAGCACTGGAGGTCACATTCCAACATGAGATTTGGAGGGAACACACATCCAAACCCTATCACCACCCAACTAGGAACTCTTGGAGGGAAGACTTGAGTGAGGTTCATCTCTGTCGCACCCAGCCCAGGGCCTGCTCCCTCAGACTTCGCCCTGGTCTGCCACTGGGAAGCCCATTTCACTTGAAGTTCCATCTGTCCCAGAAGAGAGACTGGTCAGGTGGGAGTGGGGAACAAGAGGGTGCTGGACCCACCTGAGTGCAGGAAGCAGGAGCAGCTCTCCTCTCTAGGAAGGCATGGCACCTGTACCCCGCCCTCCCAGGGACAGGGAACTTTTACCCATCTGGTCCAATGCACATGGCGCTGGGTGCTCTTCCTGTGTCACCCCTCAGGGCCACACCTGGACAGTGCCTCCACTTATCTCCATGTCTGCTGTTCCCATCCTGGACAGCCACTTCGGCCCTTCCCCGCCTGCTGTCCTGGCCCTGTTCCTACCCACCTGCCACTTCACAGCACAGCCGGAGTTGCCCCTGAGTTGGCAGGTCCTGGCCTCCTGTCCTCTCTGCATGCCTGGCCTTCCTGGCCCTCCCCTCTTTTCTTGCGTTCAGCCCCGAATCCTCACAGTAGGTCCATGCGGGCAGGTGGTAGGGGGAGACTTGTTTTACACAGCAGGCCACCGAGGTGCAGAGAAGTGTGGTCACCTCCAGAGGTCCTAGAATCTTGAGTCTGCTGGTGATTGGGATCAGCCTCCGTGACCCAGCTACCCTTTCTCCCCTAGTGCCCTTCTCCCCTCCATGTTCCTGCCATGCTGGCTCCTCAGCCCATGCAGGCCTGAAGTTCATTTTCTCTCTGGACTTCCATGAATGCTCATCTCTCATGGGAATGCCATCCTTTTCTTCTTTCCTGTTTTCCTTTCTAAACCTACTTGTCCTCTGCATTTTACTTCAAATGTCATTTCTTAGAGAGGTCCTCTCTGATCCTTTCAATCTAAACTATAATTCACCCTGTCTAGTTTCTCTGCTGGTCCTCAGGATGTCTTTTAGTTGTGTATTGATGTGTATGGTTCTGTGTGAGGTAGCAAACAGGATGGGGTAGTTAAGAGCTCGGGCGCTGGAGCTAGACACTTCAGGTAAAATTCCAGCTCTGCAATTTCCTATTTGGTGGCCTTAGGCAGGTGACTCAATCCGTGTGCCTCAGTTTCCCCATCTGCAGAAAATGGATAATAACAGCATCACCTCATAAGGTTGTGGGATGATTAAAAGGGTCAGCAGATGTGAAGTATGTAGCACCCATGCCAGCTTGTAATAAAAGCTATAAGCAGGTGTCACCTGTTGTGATTATTTTGGGGAGGGGTAAAGCACATGATTGGGTGCTAATAAGAGTGGAGCAGAGGCTCGCTGCCTCCTCTTGCCTGGTGGCGCCTCCCTATCTTTTCCCTGTGCACCATGATCATGTTTTCCAGCTCAGAGGTGGAGTGTGGTCTGCTGAAGGATTTGCTCATTTGTAAAAGGGGCTGAGAGAGGAAAGCCCTTGAGTAGGGCTTGGCTGGCAAGGAGTGCTTCCTACCTGGGTTACATGTCTCCCTGTCCCACTTGAGGCAGGGCCCTCTTGTCACCCTAGCATGCCTGGCATTCATGAAATATCTGTTCAATAAGAGACTGAACAGGGACACAGAGATCTGCCCTGGCCTTGTCCTTGCCTCCTGTCTACTCTGATGTGGTGGCGGCTCTGGGTGAATAGAGAATTTACACCAGAGATCCATGCTGGGGAGAAGGATGAGCCGAGAGAGGATTCAACTGGACAGGATGTGGGGGTCCCATGAGCTGAGCCTTGGCATGTGTTCTGGATGGAGGAGGTAGACAGGTCATTGTGAGTAAGGCTCTTGGTGGGAACATTTTCTTGTGACTGGAGTGTAGGGTATGGAAGGACATGGCAGGAAATTGGAGGAGTCCAAGGAGGAGGGTTGGCTGAGGAACCCACGAGAGAGAAGTGAAGGCCTGGGTGAGGGCCATGGGGGTAGGGAGGTGGGTGTCGAAATTACAGTTCCTGTTTCTGGGTGCTTTCTGTGTTGTAGGGCTGTGAGTCAAGCATTTTATGAGTTGCCTCATTTAATCCTTGTGACTTCAATATGCAGCCGGGACCTCTTTGTTTTTCAGATGGGGAAACAGGCTCAGAGAGGTGAGGTTGCATGCCCAAGGCCCCACAGCTAGAGAGTGGCAGAGCTGGGACTCACCTCAAGGTCTGTGGGACTCCGCCACCTCACCCTGCCTCTATGGCTGACCACCGCTGTGTGGCCTGAAACAGGCGCTGCTCCTCCCAGCCCCCTGCTCTCCCACTCACATCGATCGAGGTCATGGCCAGCTGCTTACTGGAGTCAAGGACGCAGTCAAGGATCTGGTCCTCCGGATTGAGACAGCTGTGCCTGAGTGCCGTGGGAGGGCCTGGGGACTGAGGCTGGGCAGGTTTCCCTGGGCCTTGAGTGGAGAGGATGGGGTTCCCCTAGAGCCAGAAAGAGGAAGAGTTTGGGGTGGGAGGAGGAAGTAGGCAGGGGTGTGAAGTTGTCTTGAGGAGCAGGGGCCCTGCCTTCTTTCTGCTCTGTGGCTGATATGGTCTGTCAAAGTTGAAGGGAGCCACAACATGAGGCATTCCCTCTCAGAGCCTCGTTTCCTCATCTGTCAATTGGGCTTTAGGTGGCCCCTGCCCCACGGGGCTGATTCTACTACATCCCCAAGAGTCAGGCAATTGGCTTATCAGAGGAGTTGGTGGCTGCCATTCCAGGAGCACCCCTTAGGCGCTGCATGCAGTGCTAGCTTGCTCCTATTCATTGCTCTCTCTTTAATCCTCTTAACAGCTCCTCACAGCAGGAGTTGTCCCCTGGTTTAGGCAGGAACCCATGCTCAGAGAGGTTGTGACTTGTCGCAGGTCATACCGCTGAGGGCTCCTGTGTGGGAATCTACTTCATGATTAAGGAGCCTGCTCTCAGGGACATAGAAAGTTAAATGACCTCTGTCAAACACTGCCATTGCCTGGCTGTGTGACCTTGGGTGAGTTACTTCACTAATCTTGGTCTCCATTTCTTCATCTGTAATTTGGGAGTGATAATAAGACCTGCCCCACAGGGTCGTTTATAGGTTAAACGAATTTCTGTGATTCAAGCACTTGGTGTAGCATCTGGCAGATAGTTGGCACTCTGTAAGTGTTGGCTCCTGCTATTTCCAGCTCACACCTGATCCTGAGGACAGCCTCATTGGGTGTGTTGAGAGGGGGTACTGTCAGTAGCCCAGGTGATGGGTGGGAATTCAGAAATCCTAGAAGAGGTGGTATGCCCAAGTTCATAATTACAGGGATAGCCTCAGAAGTCCAGTGTCCTGCCCCTTGTGCACAGCTGCCACTTCATTTGGGCAGATGTGGGGAGAGTTGTGACAAACCAATTCAAACTGGCTTTAGCAAAAAGGGGAGTTTGAGTTTAGCTGAAAATTGAGATATGATCCTGGGTTCATGTAATGACCTCAGGAATCTTTTTCTCTCTGCGGCTTGCCCTATGTAGGCTTCCTTCTCTCCTCTTGGCACAGTGGCCCCCAGCAGCTCTGGGCTTCCAACCCACCATCTTAGCAGCTCTGTGGCAAGAGAGCACTTGACTCCAAGCAGAGCCAGCACAGGTCCAGCCACAAGCCTCCCAGGCCTGGTCAGGACCCTGCAGTGCTGGCTCAGGTGGTTGGAAGGGATAGGGATGTGGTCGGCCCTCTGTGAATCTCATTGTTTAGGGGCGGGGTGTGAGGCTGGTTGCCTAAAGGCAAGTACATCAGCTTATGCATTAGTTCTTCACAAGTACATATTGAGCACCTACTATGTGCCACAACACAAGTGAACAAAACAGACAAAAACCCCTTCCTTCCTATTACCTGTTTCCCCACACTGGGAGCTCCCAGTGTAGAGAGACAGATGATGAGCAGATAGTAACAGAGGAGGTTAGAAGGTGAGAAGTGCCTTGGGCAAAAATGGACCTGGCGTGCTGCAGATGGGGCTGGGTGGTTACAGTTGTAAATAGGTTGGCCTAGGTGGGTCTTGTTGGCAAGGGGGCTTTTGAGGAAAGACCTGCAGGAAGAGAGGGAGCAAGTGCTGTGCAGATCTAGGGAAAGAGCATCCCTGGCCGAGGAGAGGCAATGCCGAGGTGGAGCCTTCCTGCTTGTTGGAGCAGTGAGGAGGTAGTGGGGCTGGAGAGGAGCCCTGCTGCAGGCCCTGCGAGGATGTACTTGGTCAGGGAACTCCACAGAGCTGGAGAGGCTGTGTCAGGACTAGGGTGTGGTTACTGGAGGTGGGTGGAGGGAAGAGGCTGGAGGGAGGAAGGAATAGCGTTCCTGTGAGCTGTGTGTCTAGTGTTCACCCTCTCCCTGACAAATCCCTCCGTCCCCTGCAGACATCCGGCTTCGGGTTCGAGCTGAGTACTGCGAGCATGGGCCAGCCTTGGAGCAGGGTGTGGCATCCCGGCGGCCCCAGGCGCTGGCGCGGCAGCTGGACGTGTTTGGGCAGGCCACCGCAGTGCTGCGTTCAAGGGACCTGGGCTCCGTGGTGTGTGACATCAAGTTCTCAGAGCTCTCCTATCTGGACGCCTTCTGGGGTGACTACCTGAGTGGTGCCCTGCTGCAGGCCCTGCGGGGCGTGTTCCTGACTGAGGCCCTGAGAGAGGCTGTAGGCCGGGAGGCTGTCCGCCTACTGGTCAGTGTGGATGAAGCTGACTATGAGGCTGGCCGGCGCCGCCTGTTGCTGATGGAGGAGGAGGGGGGCCGGCGCCCAACAGAGGCCTCCTGATCCAGGATTGGCAGGACTGATCCCACCTCTGAGTCTCCAGGCTACTTTTTCCTGGGAGGACGACCATCTCTACCCCTAGAGGACTGTCACTCCGGCATCTTCGAGGACTGTGACAGGACCAGGACAGCAGGCCCCTTGACAGCCCCTTCCACAGGATGTGGGCTCTGAGGCCTAAACCATTTCTAGCTGAGTTTCCTTCCCAAACTCCTCCTACCCCCGGGTATGCTCCCTTAGCCTCTGGAGGCAGGGACTGGGCCTGGGCCTGTATCTCTAAAGCGAGGGGGCACAGCCACACATTCACCAAAGGCCCCTGCACATTTCGTCTCTGGTCTTGGATTGTCTGCACACTCACAGGTGCATATACTCACTCATGCCCACACTGCCCCCTCTGAGGTCTTCCCTGGGCCCCTGCCCTGCTCCCCAGCACATACTTCTTTGGCCTAAGGGCTTCTCTCTCAGGACCTCTAATTTGACCACACCCTGGGCTTCAGCCACACTAGTGGGTACTGGAGCTGGGGTGCACATGGGGCCTGCTCACCTTGCCCACACATCTCCAGCCAGCCAGGGCCCTGCCTAGCTTCTATATACAGACCTGACTGTCCTCACCTTCCCCTTGCTGCCCAGAGCTGGACACAGACTTACACTTGGACTCTCACCCGGAGCGTCACATGGGAGTGTTGTGGCAGACCAAGGCCTACTGTTGCACATGGGGCCAAGATCAGAAAACGGCTGCTGCCTTGAGAAGGGAATGCAAAGGCTTTGGGGGTGATGGAAAAGACCTTTTACAAATGGTACCAATTAAACTGCCCTGGAAGGGGCATAGGTGGGCATCAGGATCTCTAGGACTCTTAAATTTTTTTTTTTTTTTCAGAGTTGAGAGTCTTGATATGTTGCCCAGGCTAGCCTCAAACTCCTGGGCTCAAGCGATCCTCCCACCTCAACCTCCCAAGTAGCTGGGACTACAGGTGCCCATCACCATGTGTAGCTTTTGGACCTCTGGGCTGGGGGAAAGAGTGTTCCTAGCCCAGTGTTAGGGACTGGAGTATGGTTAGGATACTGGACCATCTGCCAACTGATAACCACAAGATTATCCTGCCCTCTGGGCCTCAGTCTCCTCATCTGGCAAAGGAAGAAATACAATACTGCCTCGGAGTCAGAAACTCTACTAACCATGTTCACGTGTGCTTTGTTCCTGTGTGTCCTTGGAGGCTCCCAGAATTTTTAATTTGTGTGAGGTGGGCTGGATACACCCAAGTCTGATGGAGGCCCTAAGCTTTGGAAATGGAAAAGATAGGCAGCCCGGGGTTCTCTACCTGGAATTTCTCTCCATGTGGCTCCCCTCTGGTCACACCTTCTGGACATTCACCTTCTCTTCACCTGGCTCTGTTCTTTGTGAGGCCAAGCACTTCTTCGTGCTGTTCTGTGGCTCCTGCTGGGGTTGTGGCCTCTTGCCCTTCCCCCACTCCTCGTAGGGGCTCAAAAAGTCAAGTTTCTTAAAACCCTGTGTTTTCCTTCCTGAGGTGGAAGGGACTTGGATGGGGAGTAAGGGGTAGGGTGGCAGGGATTTCCAAGGCTGCCTTTCCTGTGAGGAGGGGTGCCCCTGCCCACACCTTGGAGCCTGTCCTGGAGCTTTGACCCATCTTGATGTGTGGGTGTGGGGGAGTGGCAGAGTCCAGGTGTGAGTCCTGTCCAGGAGCCAAGGCCTGGTCCAGCAAGCTGCTGTGTGATCCAAGGTTCTGCCTTCACCCTCTCTGGGAGGAAGCTGAGTTCCACTGGGCACCTACTGAAGATCAGTTAGCACCTAGCCACCCTGTGTGGGATTGTATCCCCATGTTTGATGTGAAATGGGCTGAGAGAGGGCAGGTGATTTACCTGAGGAGTGGGAGCACTGAAAGGGGGAGAGTACCTTAGTGACAGCAGTTAGGTGGGGAGTGAGGGGATTCTACTCCCTTGCCCTCACCCTTTTCATTTCATGACCTGAACCTCAAGAGTTTGAGGCTATCCTCTAGATGGGGTTACCTGTGCTTGGGCTCCCAGCTGCTGGGCCAAATTCTAGGGCCCGCTATTCACTTGAGCCCGTAGCCCCTGGCTTTTCTTCTGACCTCCTCATTTGAATACGGGTCCCACCTCAAAGCTAGGCACATTTCAGGCTCCGCCCCCTGCTTCCGTTCCACGTTATTGGCCCCGCCCCATTCTCAGGGTCCCCTCACCTGTAACCCTGTTCAGCCCCCAGACCTGCCTCTCGCTACTGTGTGCCTGTCAAGAGGCCCAACCTCGAGGCTAAGGGACCTGCTGAAGGGACTTGCGGAGGCGCAGTGCATTTGGCGGGAACCGTGTGGCAGCGGCTTGCGCCTCCAGAGCCTCCCTGAGCTCATGCGCGTTGGAGCTCGCCTGAGCGGGTCAGAGCGCGCGCCCGACGCCGTGGTTGAGGGACAGACCCTCGGGACCCAGAAGTGGGTCAGATCCGAGCCGAGAAGACAACCCAGGGAGCTTCGGGTGTGGATAAACAGGATCCTGTGGGGACAGGGCGTGTGGCCATGGGAGATGGGGGCCTGTGGGGGCCCACGGAGGAGCAGAACCAGGGGCTGGCCTGTGTGGGCTGAGCAGGAGTTGGGCAGTGAGGGGGCTATTCCGGGCAGGGGACAGCCTTTGCTGCAATTTCTCGGCCCTTGTGAAGGCCTCGGGACGTGCCTGAATGGGATGTAGTCGGACGGAGTCAGAGGTAAGTGGGGACGTGCCTCCACCAGCCCCTCGAGGGTCAGCAGCCATCACCTCCACGTTCTTCCTCCGGGGGAGCAGGAGCAGGTGGGGACACAGACCCGGCCCGACAGTTACCACACGAGGAGGCCACGTGAGACCCGCCCAGCGTGCCCGGGCTGGCGGCAAATGACCCACAGGGCCCTGAGGGGACCCCGGCCTGGGCGCTGGCTCTGGAGGGCACTGGCTCTGAGGCGGACACGGTGGTGGGAGCCCAGAGGACGCTGAGGGCGCCAGGAAGCTCCCCATGCATTCCACTACCAGTCGCTGCTGCCGCCCACACACTTTTACCTGTGAAATACCTTGCCGAGAAGCGCGTGGCAGAAACGAACAGTTCTTATCATTGTGAGATCGCACCCCTCCCTCCCTGTGTCACCCATGCCAAGAAATACATTAGCAGGGACGCTGGAGGACATCCGGGAGCCGCCTGCCCACCTTCCTGTCATCCGCTCCTCCCTCCCTCCCTCCTTTCCCTCTCTTTCTGCCTCCTCCTCTTCCTCCCTCCCTCCTTTTCCCCTCTCTTCCTCCCTCCCTCTCTTCTTCCCTCCCTTCCTCCCCCCTCTCCCTCCCTCCCTTTTACCCTCCCTTCCTCCCTCCTTCCTTCCCTCTCTCTCTTCTTCCCTCCCTCCTTTCCCTCCCTCTTTTCCTCCCCTTCCTCCCTTCCTCCCTTCCTCCCTCTTTTCTTTCCCTCTTCCTACTTTCCTTCCCTCACCCCTTCTCCCCTTCCCTCCCTTCTACTTCTTTCCCCTTCCCTTTTCTTCTTTCTACCTTCCCTCTCTCTCTTCCTCCTTTTCTTCCTCCCTCCCTTCCTTCTTTCCTTCCCTCTTTCCTCCCTCCTTCCTTTCTCCCTCCCCCTGTCCTCTCCCTCCCTTTCTCTCTCCCTTTCTTCCTTCCACCCACCCTCCCTCTCTCCCCTCCTTTCTTCCATCTACCTTCCCCCCTCCCTTTTTTCCTTCCTTCCTTTCTTCTTCCTCCCTCCCTCCTTTCCTCCCTCTCTTCCCTCCTTCCTTCTCCCTTCCTCTCTTCTTCCATCCTTCCTTTCTTTTCTTCCACCCACTCTCCCTCCCTCCTTTCCTCTCTTTTTCCCTTTCTCCCTCCCTTCCTGCCTTCCACCTTCCTTCCTTTCTTCCTCCCTTCATCCCTTCCTTCTGTCTCTCCCTTTCTTCTTTCCTCCATCCCTTTTCCTCCCTCTCCTACCTTCCTTCCTCCCTCCCTCTTCTTCCTTCCTTATTTCCTTTCTCCCTCCCTCTCTCCTTTCCTCCTCCCACCCCTTTTTTCTTCCTTCCCTCTCTTTTTTCCTTCTACCCACCCTCCTTTCTTTCATTTACCTACCCTTCTTTCCTTCTTTCCTCCCTTCCTCTCTCCTTCCCTTTCTTCTTTCCTCCCTTGCTTCACCCACCCTCCCTCCCTCCTTTTCTTTTGTCTACTTTTTCTCTTTTCCCTTCTTCTTCCCTTCCTTCCACCTTCCCTCGCTCCCTTCCACCCACCCTTCCTTTCTTCCTCCCATCTTCCCTCCTTCCCCCCTCCCTTCCTTCTTTCCCTTCCTTCCACCTTCCCTCTCTCTTCCTTCCACCTATCCTCTCTTTCTTCCTTTCTTCCTTCCACCTTCCCTCTCTCCCTCCTTCTCCCTCCCTTCCTTCCCCCTCCCTTCCTTCCCCCTCCCTCCCCTGCCCTTCCCCTCCCCCCCTTCCCTTCCTTCCTTCCTTCCGTTTCTCTTTTTCTTTTTTTTCTTTCAACAAGGTCTTGCTCTGTCACCCAGAATGAGTGCAGGGGCACAATCACAATTCATTGTAACCACCTTGAACTCTGGGACTCAAGCAGTCTCCCTCAGCCTCTCAAGTAGCTGGGACGAAAGGCATGTACCACCACACCTGGCTCTTTTTTTTTTTTTTTTTTTTGTAGAGACAGGGTCTCCCTATGTTGCGCAGGCTGGTCTTGAACCCCTGGGCTCAAGCAGTCCGCCTTGGCCTCCTAAAATGCTGGGATTACAGGCGTGATCCACCGCCTTGCTTTTCTTCAATATTCTAGTTTTTCATCACTTAGCATTAGAGTTAATTTTATCTCTTCTTGAACATAATATAAATGAAATCATGCCATATGTTTGCAGTGGTGTCTGGTTTCATCTGCCCAGCATTGTGTTTGTGAGATTCTTCTATGTTCTGCTTATCTGTACTTTACTCGTTTTTATTGCTGTATCATGGCATTCCACTGTATGAATATACACAGTGAGTTCATGCACTGAACTGTTGATGGACATTTGGGTTGTTTTCAGTTTGAGGCTGTTATGAATAATGCTGCTATGTATATTCTTGTGCATGGTTTTTGGTGACCAATGCTTGTGTTTCTTTTTTCTTTTTCTTTTCTTTTTTGAGACGGAGTTTCACTCTTGTTACCCAGGCTGGGGTGCAATGGCACGATCTCGGCTCACTGCAACCTCCACCTCCTGGGTTCAGGCAATTCTTCTGCCTCAGCCTCCTAAGTAGCTGGGATTACAGGCACACGCCACCATGCCCAGCTAATTTTTTTGTATTTTTAGTAGAGACAGGGGTTTCACCATGTTGACGAGGATGGCCTCGATCTCTTGACCTCGTGATCCACCCGCCTCAACCTCCCAAAGTGCTGGGATTACAGGCGTGAGCCACCGCGCCCGGCCCGCTTGTGTTTCTATAGGGATATATCTGGAGGCAGAATTGCTGGACTTGGATATGGGTATACACGGGTTTGGTATGTGCTGTTTATACTGTTTCCTGTAACTGCTATAACAAAAAATTATAAACGTGCTGGCTTAACACAATATAAATGTATTCTCTCACAGTTCAGGAAGCCAGAAATCTCAAACCAGTTTCACTAGGCTAAAATCAAGGTGTCAGCAGGGCTGCATTCCCTCCTGAGACTTAGGGGAGAATGTGTTCCTTGCCTATCCCAGCTTCTGGTGGCCACCACCATCCCTTGGCTTGTAGCAGCATCACTTCAATCTCTGCCTCTGTGTTGCCTTCTCCTCTTCTGTCTGTGTCAAATCTTCCTCTGCCTCCCTCTTAGAAGGATATATATGATTACGTTAAGAGCCCACCCA